TTGGACCCAACTAAGAAATCATCACTCTAATATATAGATAGAGGTTATCATTTCACTAATATATCAATCACCATTTGTAAGAAATAAAACAGCATCTACCTTCCTATATTTCATTCTTCTATGACCTTACTCATCACCTTACTTCCATGATGCGGGGACTTTCCCCGATTGGGATAAAATATTCAAGAGGATAAATCCTATCCCGGGTTTGTTCATTATATTAATTAATCCCCCTTTGGGAGATTCTTAGAATAAATTTACTTCACCGGTCTCATCTGGGTCTAATCATTCCTCCTTCTATCTTATCCTTCTTCTGTTTATGGGAATAGACTTTGGCCTTTTTACTTTAGCTGAACGAGGTGTTCCCTCCTTTATGGGCTGTTCCTTGGTTTTCTGACTATATAGATAGTCTGAGACTACTACTACTATAATCTTATCTTTCTCTTGTTTTGGAGTTGCAATTCGAAGCCACTCCTCGATGTTTCCTGATAATGTGTCTTCTGCTATTTTGTCCCAAAGATTGTTAGGCAGGACCCGACATTCAGTCTTCTTATCTTGGCTCCTTGTCCTCATCCTAAGACTATTTTGGATTCTCCTATTAGAAGTTCCTCGCAGCGAGGGTTAAACACGATTTAGGGAACTATTCTGGTGTTGTTCTTCTCTATTGATCCTTCAATCTCTTTGTCTTATCTGTTTAAGATTTACTTTCGGCTATTTTAGTAAATTGGATAGCCTAGGGAAGGACACAATATTTGTTTGTTAGTTCTTAAAGTCATACCAATATACTCAGTTGTTGTTACTTAGGTTCATTACAGATTGTGTGGGGTACTATTTTCAGTGTTGATCTATTTTACGCTATCCCTATCCCTCGTCCGTCACCTTTTAGATTTATACAATCTCCTTTAAATGACACGTCTTATCTTCCTCATAGGGGAAAAATCCAAGGTAGGAAACCGGATGACTTCTTTGATCCTGTTGGGGTTGTGATATATTATTTTATACTACCTTGGGGGTGAAAGTTAACTATTGGTTGCTTGTTATTTTATTGTTATTTAGTCATCATTCATTATTGGATATCTATTTTTATTATTTCAAATCTAATTCCTTCAGGAGAAATTAATTATTTCAGAATATTTCTCATGAAGTGAGTCCCCTAAGTCACTCAGTAGTGTCTTCTTGGTTCCTTCATTTATTCTTCTTATGACCTAGAGTTAGTTACCTCTCACTAGGAGTTCTATTGCTCCCTATTCTTGTTCCGATTTGTAGACCTAATTTTCTATCTTCTTTTTCCTTTTGATAGATCACTTCCTATGTTACTAAAGCTTTTGTATATATCTAATTAGCTAGGTATTGATCCGATAAGTATATATACATAGAATCTTCTTTAATATTAAACTTATAGATACAGTCTCCCGAAACAAATGAGAAAACCAACGTTAAATCAATTGATTTATTTTAATTGCCTCATGAAATACAGTATTGCTTGAATAAAATAACTACCAATTAAAAACTTAGTAAAATATAAGAAATCAGGTAAGTAAATATCTAAAATTCATATATATTCTGTTGCGAAACAAAACATGCAAGAAACCAATAATAGAACATTTTTAGCTACTTGACTTAATAACAGGAGATCTAGTTAGTATAACAGAACAACAAGTCAACCGAGGGAGACAAAAATAATAAGTGAAAAATCATAACCTAAGATGCGCGCAGATGACTCGTTTTACCTAATGCACTTTAGGCACCACGGGGCAAATAAATGCAATAAGAAAATTAATAAAAATATTTTGTAATTAGACGAAAGGAATCAATAATTAACTCTTGCCCTCTTTTCAATAAGGAAATAGTAATTTATATATAAGAAAAATAAAAAAAAATTCGGCAAGGAAGTATAAATGAATGATGGTACAACAAAGGCATCCTTAATCATATATATTAATTAATGTATAGAATTTATCATCAACTCCTGAAGTTATTTTCTGTAGAATAATGCTAATTGAACAGATATTGATTATATTTAAAAAAAAAAAGTAACAAAAAGCATGATAATAATAACGGGCCTAAACCGAAACACTAAAAAATTCCCCAAATGGTACGAAAACTCTATTTAAATAGGATTACTTATGGAATCGGGCAATACATTCCTACGTACATTGCCTCTTTAATCCCTCAGAAACATAATGAAGAAGGATATTAAGGAAACATGGGCTCCTTCTCATAGAACGGTAGAATAAACCCTCCCTGGAATATATAAGGGGCATTTTATATATTACGAATTCATTCCTGATGAAAAACAAAAACTTCAATGTTGATCAAGTACACAAAGGTGGGGAATGCACTATTCATTGAGGCTCTCCATAGTCTTTTATTAATTAAACTTCCAGAATTCTACCTCTTTACTAACATTGAATTCGAGATTACGATTAAGTTTCCTTAACTTCCGAGATAGGAACCCTAACCCCTCTAAACTCCCATGTTCTTACTCATACGACAAGTTTAATTTCTTATGAATATATCATATTGTACAGTCCAATAGAATGCACATTCTCCTAATTTGCCTCCCTGGAAAAACCCCATCAATTATATGTTACAGGACTTCGGTCATTTGTAACTCAGGGTGTCTTGAGACTTTTGGGATGGCGAGAAATAAATATTCTATTCTTTATACTCTTGGATACTTTAATTATACTTTTCTCTATATTATTCATTGTCACTACTGCTAATATATAACAGCGTTGATATTTCCCCTTATTATCCTTATGTGATGAATCATTATACTGAAGAGGTGGATGGATTGTGGCTTGGTTTTTTCCTAGGGCAGATCCTCTTCGCTCTCGTGAATTCAGTACTAATTATACTGATTCTACCCTTATTTTTCCTATTTTGCATATTCTATGATACAGGACAATAAGTCGGGGACAATTCTCTAACCCCCCTATATATAGCTTGGGATGCTTGTCTAACTTCCTTATTTCCAGACATCTATTCCATATAAATCTGGTAGAGTTTGGTTGGTTCAGACATATTCATACTTCTTCTACTTTGATTGTTTCACATACGGGAGGACATGATTGTACTACTCGACAGTGTTTAAGGT